AATTGTTTGTTACCTAACAATAACAAGAGCAATCTTTTGGGAAATCTGGAATGTGCATTTGCTTATTTCTTGAAGCACAAAGTGAAGTTCAACCTGCCAGCTCTCATGCTACAGCACATGGATTATTGCGTGGATCATAACCGTAAGAGCCTACCATACGGTATGATTTTAAGTTGGATTTTCAAGAAGAAAGAAGTGAAAGTTAAAGGGTCTTTTGCCAAGGCCATTGGCAAAATGGTTTTGGATGCTATAAATCTTTGGAGCTGTAATCTGTTTCAGGTGGAGGACAATGAATACATCACCTTGGAGGAGGTAGCAAAGAAATCCCCACAGGAATGGAGTCTTTTGACAAAGCAATTGGGGGTTCCTGTCAAGAAGTTGAAGCAGACTGTTCAGGAGTTGGGAAGAAATGAAGAAGAGGAGGAGGTAGAGGAAAGCGACTCCGAGGATGAGGAGAACCGCCGAAGGAAAGAAGTGAGGACCAAGAAGGAAAATGACTCCATGACAAACGAGGAACGTGTGGTAGCTCTTCTGCAGCAACAGAACCGGGTGATCGAGGAGGGTTTCTCGTTTATATGAAGGCTCAGTTTGTTACCATGAATTAGAGGTTAACAGCATTGTAAGCCAGTTCTAGCTGGGATGGAGATGAGGAACATCTTGGGTCTGAGGAGGAAGCTGAAGAGGACTCGGGGGACGACTCGTCCCAAGCCGAGGAGTGAGGTAATCCTTTCTAGCTTTTGTTTACCTTATGTGTTATCTCTAGAGGTAGTTATTGATAGCTGTGGGTGTAGGGTAAATTGTTTGTAGATGTACTAAGTTTGGTTGTTAGTTTAGACCTTGGTTTTGTGAGTGTGCTTTAGATTTTGTAAGAGTTGCTTGGTGAGAGCTTGTTGCCTAAAATCCTTCTTTATCTTTTACATTTATTCATGTCACATTTTGTTCACCGTTATCCATTTTGACAAACCTTGCTGTACACAAGCTTCGGGGACGAAGCTTATTGTTAGGGGGAGAGTGTGTGACACCCCGAAATTCCTATCCTTTAAATAGGATTAATTGAGTAATTATCCCAAGTTATCTTTGTTGACTTTCTAATCAATTTCCTTAATTGATAGTCGGAGGACCTAAATTGACCAACTCCTTGGTCAATTGATTTAAGTCAAAAAGGAGTACCATTAGCTTTGATGGTTGTACCTAATTCTTTGAGGTCTTCCTAAGCCTTTCTAGGGAAAGTAAGACCATGATAGTCTTTTCCCCTTACTTGGTCTTGAAGCCTTACCCTATCAAACCAAAAATTCATTTCCCCACTTTAGCAAGACAACTTTTCTCTCCCTTCTCTCTCTAATAAAACTTGGCTTCTTCCCCAAGCCAAGAAAGACATCACCCGACCTTGCAAAGATAAATCCCATGATCCCACCTTTCTATCTTCCAAGCTTAGGGAATGGTAAGATCTAAAGTTATTTTGTGTTTTTAGTTAGCTTAAAGGGTAAGGTAAGATCCCACATAACTTTAGCTAGTGGCCCTTTCAAACTTGCCTTACCAACTACATGCTCTCTTGTTTTGTACCGAGATGCCCCACAGATTGGACATGCATTCAATTCTTTGTAATCATTCCTAAACAATACCCAATCGTTAATTAGGACAAACATGTATCTTTTCATACTCTATACCCATGGGACACAGAATCTTCTCGGCATCATATGCACTCTTCGGGAGTTCATTATCTTTTGAAAGCATATCCTTTAATAAATCAATTAAAGCAGTAAAGTTATTGTCGCTCCATCCATTCCCAGCTTTTAAGTTGAATAATTTCAAAATAGCAGATAACCGAGTATATTTACTACACCCTTATCATTTGATCGATTGGTTAACTCTTCTCCGACATCACGAAACATTTCATCCAACCTATCTTCACACTCATCATCTTCATTTGCTTTGTTGTCAACATATATGTTAGATGTAGTAGTCCCTCCTCCTCCTTCACCGTGCCATATCTATTTTGTATAACTTGGATTAATTCCAACACAAATTAGATGATCATATATGCCATTTACACCTATTTTTCTTAGATTACAACACTTCTTACAATGACAAAAAAAAAAAAAAAACATCCCATTATTATTTGGAAGATGACGTTTTGCAAAGTCTAAAAATTCTCTAACTCCGACTTCATATTCCGTACTAATCCGAGAAGCATTCATTCAACTTTTGTCCATCACAAGTCACTCTAAAATAATATTAATCCTAATTAAACTTTTTTTAACATTGATTCAACAAATATCTAAAATAATAATAATATAATATCTAAAATTATTGTGGTGAGAGTAGACTAGTTAGTAGTATTAGTTTTTCGGTACACTAAGTAATGAATACAAAGGCAAGTAGATGGACAAAATAAATTACTACATAGTGACTTAATAACATGATTCAACCATGCAATTCCTAACAATAATTCTTAAAATAATTAAAAATATAACAATAATGCCTAAAATTAGAAATAAATTAATAATAATTCATAATATAATATCAATAAATCCTAAAATACAAATATATCAACATTATTTACTAAAATTCAAAATATAATATCAATAAATTCTAAAATACAAATATATCAACCTAATAATTCCAAATATATAACAAATAACTTATAAAATTCAAGCTTCAAAAAAAAAAAAAAACTTATAAAATTCAAAAATATATACCTAATAATTCCTAAAATAATTCAAAATATAATAATAATGCCTAAAATTCAAAATAAAATAATAATAATTTAAATTATAATATCAATAAATTCTAAAATACAAACATATCAACATTGTTTACTAAAATATGAAATAAATAAATAATAATTCAAAATATAATATCAATAAATCTTAAAATACAAATATATCAACCTAATAATACCAAATTTATAACCAATAACTTATAAAATTCAAAATGTATAGCTAATAAATTCTAAAATTCGAAATACATTAATAAATAATTCCAAATATATAATAATTCCAGAAATTGAAATAATAATTAAAAAAAAAACTCACAAAGTAGTCGACGGTGCGACGGTGGTCTGGTGCGGCGGAGGCTGGGCAGCGCGGTGCGGCAGTGGTCTGGTGTAGCGAAGGCAGGGTAGCGGAGGATGTGCAGGGCGAAGAAGAAAGCGTCGAACTGGAACAGTGGCTGTGTGGGGCAGTGTGGTAGTGGGCTGTGGCTAAGCGAAACGATGGCGATGAGCGGACCGGTGGCTGTGCGCGGTGAGTCATTTGAGCGAAATGGCGAATGAGTCGTCTGCGTGGTTACTGTGCGAATGAGTCGTCTGTGCGAGATCTAGGCTAATTTAAAACACCAACGACGTCGACTATTTAGAAAGGCGATATCGTGGGTTAATAGTTTAAAAAAATAAATAATAATACTATACGACGTTGGTTTTAGAACAAACCGACGTCGTATATTAATTATGAAAAAAAAATAGCTTATGCCGACGTTGTATTGTATTTAATTTTTTAATTGTTTTATATTTTATTTACAACGTTGGCTATTTGTAAATAGCCGACGTTAAATGTTTTAACGTCGGTTAAGTATATAGCTGACGTTAAAGGCTCGACGTTAAAAAATGAGAGACGCGAGAGGTGAGGTCACTTTTCTCAAATTTGAAAATTTTATTTTTCAATTGAATATATTTTCTATCAACGTTTTCTAAAAGAAAAAAAAAAATCTATCAACTAAATAATATAATTTTTTTTTCAAATATGACCATAGCATTTTACATTGATTACTAATGAATAATCGAATTTTAGGTAATTTAGTTTTATATATCAACCTTAAATTGATTCTACTGACTTCAATAATTTTGATTCTAAATATATGCAACACATACCACATGTTCTCCCTCCCTACAATTACTCTCTCATTCCTAATTAGTACCTACATAGGTCTTAGCTTGCTCATGCAATCTTTCCTATAAGAATTGACTATCTATGCCATAGGTTTACTAGCTCATTTGTTTTACTCTTACATTTTAAAAATGTAAACTTTGATATTTGGTTAGTTATGTTAAATATAGATTTAATTGTAATATATAAAGATATGGAAAATCTTAATGATACTCTTGTGAGAAGAGTATTATTTAGTTTTTTTTTCTTGGGATTGACAAAGATCATATTAGAGTGTGCATTAAGTAAACTATATTCATGTGTGATAATCTACAAATTATATAAAAAATGTAAATCATATTAATTAGGAAAATACAGTATAACACGATCAATCGATCAAAAAGATGTCTTAATGTCTTAATTTTACTATAACAGTAATGGGCTAATATACTATATATGATATACAAGCTAAGTAGGTCTTATAATTAATATATATACAGAGTAGTTGGAAAAAAAAAGTGAGAGAGGTAAGAGGTGAGGTGACACACTACACTTTCCTAGCTGTCAAACTACATCCCGGCCTATGTAAAAGTTCAATAAATAATGTGAAGAAAAAATCCCATCTGTAATAAATTTGCAATAAATAAAAGTTCAATCGACCAACTATATTAGTAAAAAAAATAATAATTGAATTGAAAAGCATGAATGAGCTTGACAGCTTGTAAATATTCATCATGATAGTTTGGTTTGAAGGGTGGAGGTTGGTGCGTTAAATTCTGTCTGCATTTCTTCTTATACAAAAGCTTTGATATTTTTTTCAGCTGCAAAATGTGTTCTAATAATAAATTTGTGTACAAGAGAATATTTTTTTTCCCATAAACATGTGATTTGAAGGGTGGAGGTTGGTGCGTTAATCAAACAGATTGCCTAATTCGCAGTACATATAGTCGAGGTTCTTCCAAGCATATGCCTCAATCTATGGAATTTATAGATTTTCTTTCAAATAATTTCACAGAAAACCCAAGTAAAATAAATTTAAAATTATTTATTTAATTATTATTAGACTTTAATTTAATATTTGAATTTTATTATATATAGAATTCTACAATTTGAATAGAGTCTATGTTCCATACTGTGATGGATCGTCGTTTACATGAGATGTTGAAGCACCTGACACAGTAAGTATTATAAAATTGAATTTAAAGTATTTTAATTTAAAATATACTAAATATGTTAACTCTTGTTTTTTATTTTATTTTATTTTTTAAGGTGACTAACGTGACATAAAGAGGTGCTAAAATTTTTAAGGCCACGATGGACGATATATTGTCTAAAGGAATGAATTGTGCACAAAATGTATGGTAATCTTTAGTTATATATATATTTGATTGAACTTATAATTTAGATTATTGAATTTGATATTTGAAACAAAATATTTATGCCATGGGAAAACTCTAATGTTTTGAGATTTTCTTTCTCTTTTTCTCTTTTTCTATTTTTCTCTTTTGGAGGGAAATAAAATAAATAATTTGTTATTAAATTTATTGTAGATTTGTAGGCATTTCTGATTGGTAGTTCAGCGGGGGGATTGACACCAATGGTTCACTGTGATTGATTTCGAGATCTTCTCCCACTATTTGCTAGAGTAAAATGCCTCCCAATTGCAGGATATTTTGTGCACGAGTAAGCTTATTTTTATAAATAATAGTCAATTTCAAATTTATTTACAAAAAAAATAAATTAAATTATTCTAAAAATGGAATGAACTAACTATAACATGTCTAATCTTTTATTAGGGAAAACCTATTGGGGAGCAAACAATTTGAGCCGACATTTGATGCATTGATTGATTTACGTGTAATTTCAATTTCTTTAGTTTATAAATGTTTTATTATATTATTTTTTTAAGCTAATTTTTCAAATATAAACTTTAATAAAAAAATTTTTGCAGGGATCAGTTGCAATGCTACCTCCACTGTGCACTTCAATAATGAGGCCGAGTCTTGTAAATTAATTAAACCAATTTAATGTTGAGTTTGTGGCATAAATATTTCATGTTACCTTTTTGGATCCACACAGTGCTTGTTCCCGCAATATCTATTGTTGTTTGTGAAGACACCCGTTTTCATTGCTATGTCAGCATTTGACGAAATCCAGGTTAATTGGACTATTTGTTAATTTTTGGTGATTTTAATTCGATGATCCAAGCAATTTAGTTTTAATATTAAGCTAGGTGATTTCAAATGTTATTTCATCATGAATCTATTAGTTGTCCCAATGTTAAAATAAATTAAATATATAATTTTATTTCCAATGTTTCTTTATTTTAGATAAGGTTGAACTTATTTCGTGAGGATGAAGTGTGCTTGGTAAGTCAAAACTGCACCGATGACCGGAAGGAGGCAATGCAAGGTTAGTGCTATAAGTGTGGAAAAAAAAATGTTACTTCTCATGAGGCCGAAATGGATGATATATAATATATAAAATAATTAATAAAGATTTGATTATTTATTTATTTTTCAGAATTGAGATGGGATGTATTAGCTGCACTGCCGAAAGCTCTTCCATTATTTAGGGGCATGTGGATTACAAGTTGTATCGCGCATGATTGTGCGATATTTCTTAATGTCAAAATAATAATAATAATAATAATAATAATAATAATAATAATAATAATAATAATAATAATAATAATAATAATAATAGTGTGATATTTCTTTATTTACTTAATTACTATATATATAGATCTTTTTTGTGACAAAATTTAGTGTTATTTTTACAGACCTTTGCTGAGGTATTTCATGATTGGTACTATGACTGCGATTACTTGCAAGTTATCGATACATCTATGGAGCCAAGAGATTGCTCTGCATATAAAATATATCCTCAAGCACTGAATTGTTGTGATAAAGTTAGATGTTGGCAGGCTTGAATTGTTGTATTTGAATTTATTATACATGAAAAGTTTGATATGATCAATGATTAAATAGTTTGAGTTTGATTACTGAGTAATTTGACATCAAAATAGCGCATAGTTTTAACTTACCTAATGATTTGATTTGATTTTATTGTTTGATATGATTTAGTTCGTGGATTGATGGGTTATGTGTTTGGGTTGTAAAACACCAGTTATTTAGTCAATTAATTTAAAATATGCACTTTAAATTCTGTTTATTATTCACGTATGCTATGGGGTGAATATAATGGACAAAATAAGCAATATCTATCATATATAAAATAACATTCTTTACTTTACATATTAATTATATATATCACAATATAAGGGAATATGGTAAAATGATTTAATGCAGGAGACCAACAAAAGCAACATGCATAAACACTCCACATAGATTAAGGTCCAAGGTTAAAATTAATATAATTAGTAAATTTAATTTATTAACAAGCTAGCCTATGGTTTGGAGAAATACACCCTAAAATTATTAATTTATCCTTTGATAAAAAATTGGACCACAAGAGGAAACTACTTGAAGTAATGGAGATGAAAGAGAAGATCTTGATAATTGTGATACCTCAGGATATGGTGTTCTTTGATGCATAGAGCAAGTGCTTAAATGATAAAGTTTAAAAGATGATTTTTTTTTTTTAAAGTAAAGTATAAGATTTATTATCAATGAATAAATTTCGGAGGGTAAAGTCTCAGAAATCATAGAAAAGGATCAATTTAATAGTTTCTGGTAACAAGCTAAACGAAGAAAACATAGAAGCGCAGCTGATGAGCAAGGAAAACCCTATGCAGTTAAAGTATCCGATCCGTGACACGGTTTACTTCACGATAAATATGAACAATTGATGAAGAAAAAAAAAAAAAACCAACCGCGAATGGATCCGACTAAGCACACCATGAACTCTCCACGGGACCAATATTGTAGACGAGGTAACATACCGAACCAGTGCAAGAGAATCAACTTCAACCTGTCCTAGTAGATGCCATATCACACTAACACAAGGCAAAATCAAATGCCAATACCTCCACTTCGAGTACCGAGAAGGCAAGCAACGGAAAAGATAATCCCGCAATGAAAATGCCAGCTGCCGAATTCCCCAAACATACCCCACCTGCCACTCCATTTATGAAAAATAATGCATCAGTGTTTAACTTGAGACGTCTTGAAAGTGACTTATGCCACTTAATCCAAGTCACCATGCACCTCGGAGGAGAGGCAAATGTAGCAATATTCCCCTCAGAAACCAAGAATTGATCCAACAAACCATTTATACGAACACGATGAACCAAAGAATTGAAACCAAAAAAGTTTCCTTTTTAATCTTGGAAATAACAGCAATAGAAGAGAATGGAGTACTATCATACAGAGCAGAATTATACAATAATACAAAGTCCGCACCACCCAAAGAATAAGACAAGGGAGTAGGTAGCAAAAAAAACCCGCAGCAGTCCCCGACGAAGCTGATAACCACCATTTATGACACGCAGCTCTTACCGACCGGACATTATCAAGGGAAATTCCAAAGATTAAAGCAAAACTATGCCACAGGCGAAAAACATGAGCACATGAGAAAAGGCAATGCTCCAAGGATGCACTTGCATTAAAAAAAAAAAAAAAAAAAAAAAAAAAAAAAAAAAAAAAAAGAAGGAGAAATGGAAGGTAGACAAATCTCAAAACTCTCTAGGCAGTCTAGGAATGGCAAGTACCTCTGATCCGGAGAAGCTTCCACATAAATATTGAGCATTTAGTTAAGATACCTGGCGCCCAAATACATTTTGAAGAGAGAGTTGAACCCATCCTTGGTCTAAGCATATTTTATACTTATGCCAACCTAAAATCACCCATTGTAGACGATGTCCAAATAGTTTCACTGCCAACTCACAAATATGATAATCGACAAGATCATATATTTGCAACATACGGCACGAAACATGCGTGCTGAACTGCAGCCATATAAACAAACAAACAAACACACACACACACACATATATGTGTGTGTGTGTAGTAATAGTAGAGTTCAGGTGCGGCCTTAGTTTCCCATGCGGTCATGCGGATACATTAGAATCGTAGGATGAGCTGAGATCAAACGGCTGGAAATCAATGATGAAGAGAAATTATGGGGTGGTAATATCGTAATTTTTTGCACCAAGTATATTTCGACGGTGCATTACGTGCTAGTGTGTGGTGCAATTTTGAGTGCTCTATGGTGCATGTTTGAGTGATTAATGGTCCATTTATTTGTATTACACCACTCAACGGGGGTGTCAAACCCGTCGACGGGTTCAATAGACCCGTTATCAGGTGCTAGTGTGTGATGCATATTTGAGTGCTCTGTTGTGCAATTTTGAGTGCTCTATGGTGCATATTTGAGTGATTAATGATGCATTTATTTGTATTACATCACTCAACGGGGGTGTCAAACTTGTCGACGGGTTCAATAGACCCGTTATCGGGTGCTAGTGTGTGGTGCATATTTGAGTGCTCTGTTGTAAATTTTTGAATGATTAATTGTACATTGATTTGTATTACACCACTCAACGGGGTGTCAAACTCGTCGATGGGTTCAATAGAACTGTCAACGAGGTGTATTATGTACTAGTGTGCGGTGCATTTTTTTTAGTGTTCTATGGTGCATTTCTGAGTGTTGTGTGGTACATTTTCAAGTGATATATGGTGCATTGAGATTGTAACGTGCCTTTGGATGCAAATGATCGAACGATGCAGATTAGGCCACTCGACCGCATGGCAGATGATGACCGCATATGAGCTGTAACACCCCCGATTTTACCAACATTTTAAAACTTAAAATTCAAAGATAGTTGTAGACACAGCAAATTTGAAGTCGATAAATGGGCTGGTTCATATGTTTGGGACTTCGTTGGATGAAATTGGACCAATTATTGATTTATTTGGATTAATTAAATTGTCCAATTAAATTGGCCCAATTCTCCGAATTAAATATAAATTGAAGACTAATGGACTCGGATTATAAGGACGATCTGTATTTGGCCAGCAAGAAGATATTCAATTTAATTATTGAATTTAAATATGTGACAAGATATTCATATATTTAGGTTAGTTAGTTATTTAATTTGAATATGTGATAAGATATTCATATATTTAAATTAATTAATTATTTAATTTGAATATGTGATAAGGTTATGAACCTGAATACAATGGTGGCTATATACATTGTGGATAAATGTTCATATTATCCTAAAATGTTAATTGATAATATAAGGATAATATTGAAGAGTTTGGGTTCTAGTGAAAGTCTTCCATATTCTCCCCTATAAATAGAGCTCTTCATTCATTCCAAAAATCACACTTGAAGACTTAAAGAATACTTGAAGAATTGAAGAAAAGCTCTCAAGTTAGAGGATTGAAGATCAAATCAAACTAGGTGGATTGAAGATCAAATATTTCAACCATTCAAGCTAAGCTAAAGTGGACTGAAGATCAAGCCAATTAAAGACCGGAGGCCCTTCAACGAAGATTAAGCAACAAAGCCCTTCATTGAAGAACAAGCGGCGTTCCGGAGGCCCTTCAGCCAAATTTTCAAATCAAGTAAACCCAAGTGAAGAATCAGAGGACTTTTTGATAGAGATCTTGTACCCGCGCAATTTTGAAATTTGAATATATACCTGTACAACCTTTTCTTGTTTACAGATTTTGGCACGCCCAGTGGGACATCTCTACCTCTCATCTCTTCACAAGAATCTAAATGGCATCAAGGATTCCCACGTCCAAGATGACTTATGCTCAAGCTACCCGCTCCAAGGCATCGTCCAGTTCCGATGATAGTCGCGAGATGCAAGGTGCATTGACTCGGAGTCGAGCAAGGAACATGGGAGTGCAGGTGGCTGAAACTCAGAGCATGGTGCGCAATATCATTCGAAGGATCGAAAGCAAGTCTACTGCTTCAAGGAAAGCTACACACGATGAGGGTTCATCTTCTACAACGGGGACTGTTGGTGGCAAGATTCCTACTCCCTCAAATAAAGCTACTGGAAGTGGAGGTCCTTCTCTTACTCCTTCGAGAGGAACTGCTAGCAGTGGAGGCTCGTCACCCACAACACTGGAATGCACTCGTGCCTACACAGTCATGCCCGCCATGGCAACCAACGCAACTTCGGTGGATGAGCAACTAGCAAACATCACCAAATCTCTCGAGGGTGTGACGACGCTTCTTCATAACCAAGATAGGAGGATAAATGACCTAGCTGAAAAGGTGGAGAGCATGAGGAACGACGAAACAAGTCGAGCTTCTGGGAAGCAGCCCCAAACTCAAATGGAAGAGATTGATGTGGAGTTACCACCCCATGGCGATAGGCTCGTTACAGGGATGGAAGAAGCAGCATCTCGCCCACCACTTGCTGAGAAAAGCATTCCAATTTTTGGGGGCACGATTCCTGTAGAGCAACTAAATGACTACATCATGGGAGCTATCAAAGAGAAGCTCGAGGTGGGACAGCGCTCTTATACATGTGCCAAGCCTTACACTCAAAGGATCGAGGAGCTAAGGATGCCGCCTGGGTATCAGCCACCTAAATTCCAGGAGTTTGATGGGAAGGGGAATCCTCGACAACACGTAGCCCATTTCGTGGAAACTTGCAATGAAGCTGGGACATACGGGGACTACCTAGTGAAGCAATTTGTTCGCTCATTGAAAGGAACGGCTTTTGACTGGTACACTGATCTTGAGCCAAGTTGTATCAATAGTTGGCACGACATGGAGCGTGAATTTCTGGATCGTTTCTACAGCACAACAAGAACTGTCAGCTTTTTGGAGCTCACAACTACCCGCCAATGGAAAGGAGAGCCTTCCGTTGAATACATCAAAAGGTGGAGAAATGCGTACTTAAATTGTCAAGAGAGGATATCGCAACGTGCTGCTATTGACATATGTATTCAAGGAATGCGATTTGAGTTGTCTTACATCCTGCAAGGGATCAAGCCTAAGACG